CCCCCCAATAATGACAGCTCCATCCCAAGACATTCCACACCTCACACCCTTGAATTGTCCTGGGCAGAGCCTGTGCTCACAGGGCCCCACTTGCTAAACCCTGGTGGAACTGGATGGATCTGTAAGGGCAGATCTGGGACCTGCACCCCTCCTTTGTGGCATTCTCCAGGGCCCTGTCTCAGGAAAGGTAGGGGTCTCCAAATCCCAGACCTTCCTCATCAGAGGCTGGAAGGTGCCTGTAGACAAGGCACTCAGTAACTCATTTATGTCCCTAAGTGTCATCCCACATTCACTCCACTAGAGCAAGAATCAGTCTCACAGAGCAGGCAGGGAAAGGGAGACAGGTACCCTAGAAAGAAGGGCAAACCTAAGCCAAATCCTCAGGTCCCAGGGCAAAAGGCTTCTACCCCAGGTTCTATGTCATCTCCCAGTCCAAGAAGTTTTTACCTGCTTCAGATGGCTGCTGCTTCTCCCTTGATGACCCCCAGGGCCATGTGTCCCCACCGTGGGAACAGGGATGCCCATCACCTGGCAAGTGTGCCAAGCCCTCTCCACCTCAGTGTCAGAAACAGGCTGCTTTCCCATGGGTATCTCACCTAATTCCCTCAGAGGCCTTCTTCCCACAGACAGAGCACCTACCCACACCTGGCAGGGCTCTTGCTCATGTACCCAGCAGCACCCAGACAAGGTAGTTTTTGTGTCCTGTTACTGTGAAGTCCTTTGTCCACAGGAGCTGCAGGCATTCTCAAGGTGCCTGAGATCCCTCCAGCTGAGCCCCAAACCTCTCTCAAGTCTGATTGGTACAAAGGACTCAGAGCTATCCTTGGATTTCACGCAGCACTGCAGGGAAGGACAAAGCCCCCCCCCCCCCCACTTCTCATATGCAGGCAGCACAAATCTCTCAGCCCTCCACAGGCTTCCACACTGTAGTACCACCCTGTCCTGCTCCCCACAGGCTTCCACAGGGCAAGTTTCTGGTCTGTGGCCCAAAGTCAGCCTGACCCAGAGTCTCAGGGCTTCACAGGTCACCACCCCCAGGGCTGAGGTTAAAGGTTTCACCCAACCCTTGCTGTCCACCTTGCCCTGCATCTGAGGACACATGGGTGGTCGCAGCTCTGCTGACATCCTGTTACTTGCTGCCAGCCCTGGGGATGAGGACACCCACCTAAAGTGTGTGCTGAGGGATGCAAGTGTCACCTGGCTGAGAGCACAGAGGAAGAGGCAGCAGGTCTGGGGCTGTGGAAGGAGGCAGAGCTGGGTTCACTCACCTGTGAGCCCACCAGAGATAGAGATGGTGGCAGAGTGAACCAACCCCACCCCTACTGCATCCAGCTTGACAACTGTGTGTACGCACATATGTGCATGTATGTGCATGCCCATTGCATGTAGCCATGTTTACCTGCCTGTATGCCTGTGTGGAGGCCAGAAGTTGATTTTGGGTGTCTTCTTCTGTCATTCATCTGTGTTGTTCTTTGAACTGGATCGCTTCTCTGACTCTGAAGCTCACTGTTTGGCTATGCTGCCCAGAAAGCTGCCTGATCCACTTGTGTCTCCCCTCCACCCACAGTGCTGGGATGACAGGGCATGCCCCCATGCACAGCCTTTACATGGGTGTTAGGGATCAAACTCAGGTCCTCTGAAGCAAGTGCTTTACCCACTAGCCGTCTCTCCAGCACCCACTGCTTACTTTTTGATGGCAAACACCGTCAGTCCAACTGTGGTGTTGCGAAGCCTGAACTGCTCATTCAGTATGTCGATGTTGAAGGTCCCCTCCCAGATGATGGGAGCCAGCCAAGGGGTCAGGACAAGAACATCTTTCCGACTACATGGGGACAAAGCCACAGTCAACAAGTGACCAAACATGCCTGCAGGAACCCTTCTCAGATTCCACACCCTCAGCTGCCCTAGGGCTGCCCACCCTCCCCAGTGGGGCCTGGCCAATCAGCAGCAGCTCTCACTGACTACGCCCACCCCACTCCACCAAGCATTAAAACAACTGAGTTATTACAGCCACTGCAGCCACCACATCTCTGCAAACTGATGACAGAGACAGGAAACAAGGAGCAGATCCCAGATGGGAAATGACAGACAGGAGATGCTCCGGGCTCCAGACCTGAGTCAGACAACCCTCGGACTCTGACAGGGTTGTGAAGTGAGGGCAACGAGAATCATAATCAGGTCTTTGGTTTTTTCTGGGTTTGGTTTCTCCAGTGCTGGAGACCGGCCCAGCTCTCAGGTATGCTGCTGAACTGTCCCCACTGCAAGCAAACCCTCCTTTAGTGCCTTTACGGCACTTCCCATGCACTGACCAAATCTACTCACCTGGGTGTTAGCACCTGTGGCTGGGCATAGGCCATCCTGCAAAAAGACAACACCAGAACTCAAGGTGACAGGAAGGTCCCTGGAATGCATGTCACTGGCAGCTCTGCACCAGGCAAACAGACCTGCATGAGCAGTGGCAACCAAGCCACTGTGTACGTCCATGACCCTGGGAGCAGAGAATGGACCAAAGCAGGAGATAACAGTCTCACTTGACATAAGGTAGGGAGAGGAAATCATGACACCCCTCCCCTTACTTAAGGCTGGGAAATCTAAGGACTACTTTAATTCACAAGCCAGATGAGACTGAACATGTCTGTCCCTGGTAGATGCCAACCATCTGACCTGGGCCTGCAGCCTGCCTTGGTTTTCTCCTTAGCTGGTGGCACAGAGTCCTGGCTCTCTGTCTCGGTCATTGACCAGTCCCAACATCAGTGTGAAGTTCCCTCCAGAGGTCAGGCCCCAAGGGACAAGAGCCACTTCTGTTATAAGCTGCGTTCTAAGACGGCCTGGGGAGCAGAGAGCAGGGCTGGAGAGACGCTCAGCGGCCAGAGCACTGGCTACTCTTGCAGAGCAACGGGATTCCGTTCCCAGCACCCGCATGGAGACCCACAACTGTCTGGAACTCCAGTTTCAGGGGACCTGAGGGCCTTTTGTGGACTCTCTGGGCACAGGCATGTATGTGGTACACAGACATACATGCAGGCAAAACACTCATACACATAAAGCCAGGGAGCTCTGGAGAGTCATCAAAGGTGTGACTGCCTCCCAACACAAGTGGGGGGGGGGGGGGCAGAGTGCTCTGCAGCAGTGGAAAACCGACACAAGAGGGAACTGAACAAAGAGCAGGTTGGGGCAGTGTAGTCCAGTGGGAAGCACAGCATAGACAAAGATCAAGGCCAGTCCTACTCAAGGACATGCATGGCTGTTCAGGAATACAGAGGAGCAGGCTGCTGGGGAGGGTCAGCTGGCAGGATCTGATTTCAGAAAGCCCACTACCTTCTGTGCTGAAGGATCATTAGCTACTGTAAGGAAAAAAGGGCTGAGACAGATGAACAGGCGTGTGGCTGATGCAAGGCCGCAGCAGGTCCAGGAACCAGAGCAAAGCCAAGAGATGCCTCCCCAAAAGGCAGACTGACAGGATCTGGGACTGCGGGGGTGGAGGGACCTCCAACTTGATCTCTGGGTAGAAGACAAAAAACATAGCACTCAGCAGGCTGCTGGGGAGGTGGGTGGGGAATAGAAGCTGTTCTTGGGGTTGCCCAGGCGGGTACAAAAGGGAGGATGAGGCCAAAGACAGGAAAGACAACAGTGCTCCCTCCCCCAATACATTCTCCCTTTAGAGACAGCAGGGGGCAGCCTAGAGAAGGACTGGACCCATCCATGTAGAGGTACAGTCAGAGGCCACAAGGCAGAAGGCAGCAGAAAGTTCATCCAGCCAGTAACCGATTCTCACATGTGTATGACATACACACATATCACACACACACACACACACACACACACACACACACACACACACACAAACACAACACACAAAAACACAACACACACACACAACACACAACATACATTTTATACCCACTCACCTAGTCACAGATTCTGAGTCTCCCAGTTCCTGGCTTCTGTGGCTCGGGAACCCATAGCTGCAGGAAGGACATGCACAGAGGCAGCTGTTCAGGACACAGACCTGAGACTGGCTGTCTGTCCCTCCCTCCAAAATGCACCACTGTATCCAGTGAGCACAGGTTTTCCCAGTGGGGATGCAGGGCCAGGTGACAGGACTAAGCAAGCTCACCCTGCTGGAAGAAGAGGTGGCAAGAAGGGCCCTGGGGACAAGGCCTGCATCTGGACACCTGAAGCAGCTGCAGACAGCCCCAAGACCGCATCAGGGGCTCCTGCCTGGCTGTGTCTGCAGAAGCCTCGGTAGACATGGCAGTGTCTTTACTCTGTGAGTGTTCACAGACCGTCTGCATCTAGAGAGGGCTGCAGTCCAGGCGCCAGGCCTGCCTTCCTCTCCTTCTCCAGGTCCACCCTCACAGCTAGGGCCATATGACTGGGCATCCAGCCCCATTTGTGGAATCAGAGAGGGACATCTGTCCTGCAACCAAGCCTGCCCTATGGGGACAAGCAAAAGCTGGACATGCCACTGTGTGAGTGGCCAAGAGCATCCTCGTCACTGCCGTGGTAGTGGGGATACCCACAGCTCAGGGTCCCCATCAGGGTCTCAGGAGCTGTTCCTCACCAGCCTGTATTCTTACCCAAAGAAGACCAAGGCAACCACTATGAGGGGAAGGATTCCAAAGTGAAGTGAGTAGCATTTTGGTCTTCCTGAAAAACAGCAGCACAGGATCCAGTTACTCACCCCCTTCCTGGACCTGACTCCCCTCCAGGCCTCTCCTGAGACTCAGAGGTCATCCTGAGCACCACAGCCACCACCCTGCCCTATCTCAGGCAGCCCCAATCCCAGCTGGAGTGCCAGCCCCGCTGAGCACTCAGAAGGTAAAGAAGGTTGTTCACTTCCTGCTCAGGACTCCAGCTGCTCCCTTGGCCCTCAAGGTCCCTTGGGCCCCCAAGTCCTCAGGCCACTGAGCACCCCTTCCTGTGGTAAACTGAGATGAACCAAAGCGAATACTTCAGGGTCACTGCTCCCTCTGGCCCCTGTATGCTCACCCCACAGGGACAGCAATTGGTCTGTGCTAGTGACATTTTCTCATGCTGGGGTTGAATCCCAGGGCTGATGAGTGTTAGGGAAGTGCTCCACCACTGGACTATGCCCCTAATGCCTCAGGTGATTTTCATGTCTCTAGAAGTTGTGTGTTCTCATAATCAAGTTCAAATAGTCCTAAAGACACGTATGTAAATAGACTCATGTGTCGGCTCTGGAGAAAGAGCTCAGTGGGTAAGGCTTTTGTCACAGCCACACAAGCATGAGGTCCTCAGTTCAGATCCCCAGAGCCCATGTAAATCCAGACATGTGAAATCCCAGCACTCCTGTGAGGAGATGGGAAGGGGAGACAGGGGTCCCTGGAAGCTCACGGGCCAGCTAGCCTGCACACAGGGAGGAACAACAGAGAGACCCTGTCTCAAACAAGGTGAAAGGCAAGGACTGACACCACGGTTGTCCTCTGACCTCACATGCACACCCACACTCACACGCTGTGCTCCTAAAGGTTTATATCCAGAAAGGCTTACCTCTCCCTGCCCCAGTCCGTTACTTTCCCCTCTGGACCACTTGATCTGGGACTCTGTTTACTTTATTTATTTAATTAATTGTATGTGTTTATCTTAGTTTTTATTTCTTGGGTTGGTTTGCTTGTTTGTTTATTTGTTTGTTGAGACAGTGTTTCTCTGTGTAGTCCTGGCTGTCCTGGAATTGCTCTATAGACCAGGCTGGCCTCAAACTCACAAGAGATTCACCTGCCTCTGCCTCCTGAGTGCTGAGATTAAGGGCATGCGCCACCAACAACCCTAAAAACTTATTATGAGGTATAATTTATATCTAATAAAATATTTCCATTTTAGATATTGTTTGCTAATCTCTAAACAAGGAACCCCCCTTGCTGTGTATACCCCCACATTCCCCTCCTCATCTACATTGGAGCCAGGAGGCACTTGTGCCCTCAGCCTGGCTGTTTATATAACACGATGCTGTCAAGAGTCACCACGGGGTCATGAGTGGATTTTATTTTTTATTGCTTTTTTTTAAATGCCCCAATAGTTCCAGCCATTTAAGAAAATACATCTTCCCGTCACATCATTCTAGCATTCATCAGAAATTACGTGGTGGGAGCTGGAAAGATTGCTCAGGAATTAAGCACACTTGCTGCACAGTCATGAGGACCTGAGTTGGGATCCCAGTGTCCATGTAACACAACAGGCATCCAGGAGTGAAAGTCTGTGACCAGGACTCTTGAGTGAGCGTCGTGGTGGTGGTGGTGGTGGTGGTGG